ATGTCCCCATGGTCTCTGAGCTCTAGTCATAAGTGAATCTTATGCCCTGAGCAGCGTGGGGTATGCAGCGAGAGGGAGAAACCCGGGGACAGGGGGCCACTAAGCACAGGCCTTGGGGTCCCCGGGAGAGTGTAGACTCGCTGCAGGGCCAGGACCCCTAGATCCTTCCCAGGGCCTGTGGTCTTGAGCTGGGGAGCAGGGTCGGTACCTGGCTGCTGGGCTGGCGGTGGGCCTGGAGCCTCCTGAAGCTCAGGCCTGGGCGGGGTGTGGGGCGGCAGGCCTTGCACCCCATTTGGCTTCTGCACCTCCATGTCTTCTTCGTTCTCAAACTCCTTGAACCTGGTGTGGGGAGCACAGGCCTCGCTGAGTCGAGTTGCCCGGGTCCACGCAGAGTGCCAGGATGAGGCAGAGACAGGGGATGCTCATGGCCCAGCCCCCAGGAGGGTGGAGAATGGGGTGGACACAGACCCCAGCAATCCCAGCCATCTCCCACATTGGCCCTGGAGGGTCACAGCAGATCAGGGACTGTGACCCTCATCTGTGGTCAGGAGCCCCAGAGCGGGGTGGGTAGAAGCGTCCCGACCCCACAAGGGACAACCTTCCCCAGGCGAAGGGCCTCTCAGGGCTGCCAAGATCCTCCCCACACCCCCCCCCCCCCCCCGAGCTATCTGGGAGCAGCCCCTGCAGCCATCCTTTAGTCTCTTGTGCCCCCTCCTTCTCCTCTGGGCCATGGCAGGCTGGAACCTTCTCTTGGGGGGGGGGCAGGGAGGGTCCCTCCAGCTCCACAGTCAAGCTGAGCCCCTACACACCCTGGGGTGCCCCCTGGGGCAGGGGGTCTTCTCAGTAGTGCCCCTCCTTGGTCCCCCACACAGAGGACGCTTCCTGGAAGGGGCAGTAGACTTGAAGGCCCTTGTGCGAGTGGATGGGGGCTTGAGATCCCCCTGACCTCCAGCAAGGTGTGGGCCAGTGTCAGGGCCTGTGTCAGGGCCGGGGTTCCTGGGTAAGCCCCAGGGCAGCAGTCTCTTGTGAGAGGCTTGAAGGAAGGCCAGCCTGCTCAGCTCCTCTTTCTCCTCACTGGAGTCCTCTGCTGCCCCAAGCTTCCCCCGGCCAGGAGGGGCCTCTCCCAGCATGCGGGGAGCCCTGCTGTCCAGAGTGGGGGCAGTGAGGCTGGGACGGGGGGCCCGTCCTGCCTGCAGGGGTGGGGACTCCAGGCTCCGCAGAGAGGGAGCAGAGGCTCCAGGTGCCATCACAGTGGCCTCGGCCCGCCCAGGCCGTGAGGCATGTCCAGAGTCAGTCTCAGGCGGGCAGGACTCAGTGCTGGTCCCTGGCCTGTGGCCCCACATTGGTGTTGGGGTGCCGTGGCCTGCTGCTGTCTTGGCTGGACTGGAGTCCTTTAGGGTCACCGGGTGTTGGGGACGAGCCTTCATGACATCCTTATCCTGTGAGTTCTACAGACACTTTTGCACAATCTGGGGGAGAATGGACAGTGTGGGCATGTAGGGCTGCAAGGTGGGACAGAGAGTGACTCTTACTCCTCTGAACAGAAGATACTTAAGCTCTATGGATCCCTCAGGGTCATCTAACCCTCCATCATCCTCCCTTCACGCAGTATTCATGTCCTCTTGTCCCTGAAGCCTCACATGAAGGGGGCAGGAGGGCATCGCACTTGCTGGGACCCCGTTTCTGGTGCGCGCCTCCTTGACCCATGCCGCCCGGCTTATCTGAGTTCCCAGGCTTAGTCACCGTCTCCCCATAGAGTCTCCTTCCCCGAACCTACCCAGAAAAGTCCTTTCTGTTTGCCCAGGGTCCTTGCTCACCTCCTTACCTGAACCCTCCCTAAACTCCCTGGTCCCTGACAGAAACCTCCAGAGGTCCATTTGCCCTCACCTGTGTGGGGGTGAGTCCTTCCTCCTTCTCCAGATCCTCAGCCAGGGCCAGGAGATCCAGCTGGGACTCCTGGGAGAGCAGGTGCTCCAGGAAGCTGGGATGAAGGATCGCCTCAACCTGGGAGAGGGAAGCAGGGGTGAGGGTCCTCGTAGGGAACAGAAGGGAATGAGGAAGCAAACACACCTTTCCCCAGCACAGTGCACGGGCTTAGACGGCTGCACAGGCTTGGACGGCTGCACAGTCTCACACGGACACAAGCCGGGAACGCTCACACACACACACACACACACACACACACACACACACACACAGCGACACATACACACCCGCACTCACAAAGGCACATGGACTATATACCTACTCTCACAGAGTAGCACATGTGAGCACACATGGATTCAAGCACACACCTGATACAAATGATACACTCTCTTCCACCTCTAGGTACGTGTACATGATTCTGCACGTGTCTGCACAGAGCCCACACAGTACACACAGATGTAGACACACAGAGATGTTCACACATCGACCAAACTCAGAAAGGCACAAACAAGGGCCACTGCTTGTACACAGAGAGACACACGTGCACACGTGCACACGTGCACACAAAAACAAGCAAAAACATGCAAACACAGGTGTGCATACACACACAGAGCTCAAAGCAAAGACTGCATGTCACTGCCAAGGCCTCACTGCCAAGGCCTGGACAAGAGCAGCCCTGGTGCGGGCATGCCCTGGGCCCGCACCCTCACCTTGGTGACAAAGGCCTCCTGGGAGCACAGCTCGTCCACGTAGCTCAGGAACCCCTACTCAGAGCAGGTCCCGGCCTCCTTCTGCTGCTCCTTCCTGCCCGCTGCCCATTGGTCTTGGGGCACCCCCCAGACTGTGTCGGGGACCTTCAGCAGCTCCTCCATGATGTCCATGTACTCCTGCACGGCCTCAGGGGGGATCTCTAGCAGCGTTGGTTTCCGGGGACTGCTGCGTTTCATGTGTTTCGGGGTGAGCTTCCTGGGCACAGAGGCTGTCCGTATTAGGGACACAGGCTGAGGAGGAAGAAAGAAGAGAAGGACGTGAGGGGACTCCGCATCCATGCCCTCAGACACACAGCACTGAGCACAGATTTGGGAACGGGTTCCAGTGGGCTGGGTCAGGGCCCTAGAATCCCGTGGCTGCGTGAGGGACGAGGGGACCCTCAATGGGGGAGGGGCCAGCATGTCCCCATGGTCTCTGAGCTCTAGTCATAAGTGAATCTTATGCCCTGAGCAGCGTGGGGTATGCAGCGAGAGGGAGAAACCCGGGGACAGGGGGCCACTAAGCACAGGCCTTGGGGTCCCCGGGAGAGTGTAGACTCGCTGCAGGGCCAGGACCCCTAGATCCTTCCCAGGGCCTGTGGTCTTGAGCTGGGGAGCAGGGTCGGTACCTGGCTGCTGGGCCGGCGGTGGGCCTGGAGCCTCCTGAAGCTCAGGCCTGGGCGGGGTGCGGGGCGGCAGGCCTTGCACCCCATTTGGCTTCTGCACCTCCATGTCTTCTTCGTTCTCAAACTCCTTGAACCTGGTGTGGGGAGCACAGGCCTCGCTGAGTCGAGTTGCCCGGGTCCACGCAGAGTGCCAGGATGAGGCAGAGACAGGGGATGCTCATGGCCCAGCCCCCAGGAGGGTGGAGAATGGGGTGGACACAGACCCCAGCAATCCCAGCCATCTCCCACATTGGCCCTGGAGGGTCACAGCAGATCAGGGACTGTGACCCTCATCTGTGGTCAGGAGCCCCAGAGCGGGGTGGGTAGAAGCGTCCCGACCCCACAAGGGACAACCTTCCCCAGGCGAAGGGCCTCTCAGGGCTGCCAAGATCCTCCCCACACCCCCCCCCCCCCCCCCGAGCTATCTGGGAGCAGCCCCTGCAGCCATCCTTTAGTCTCTTGTGCCCCCTCCTTCTCCTCTGGGCCATGGCAGGCTGGAACCTTCTCTTGGGGGGGGGGCAGGGAGGGTCCCTCCAGCTCCACAGTCAAGCTGAGCCCCTACACACCCTGGGGTGCCCCCTGGGGCAGGGGGTCTTCTCAGTAGTGCCCCTCCTTGGTCCCCCACACAGAGGACGCTTCCTGGAAGGGGCAGTAGACTTGAAGGCCCTTGTGCGAGTGGATGGGGGCTTGAGATCCCCCTGACCTCCAGCAAGGTGTGGGCCAGTGTCAGGGCCTGTGTCAGGGCCGGGGTTCCTGGGTAAGCCCCAGGGCAGCAGTCTCTTGTGAGAGGCTTGAAGGAAGGCCAGCCTGCTCAGCTCCTCTTTCTCCTCACTGGAGTCCTCTGCTGCCCCAAGCTTCCCCCGGCCAGGAGGGGCCTCTCCCAGCATGCGGGGAGCCCTGCTGTCCAGAGTGGGGGCAGTGAGGCTGGGACGGGGGGCCCGTCCTGCCTGCAGGGGTGGGGACTCCAGGCTCCGCAGAGAGGGAGCAGAGGCTCCAGGTGCCATCACAGTGGCCTCGGCCCGCCCAGGCCGTGAGGCATGTCCAGAGTCAGTCTCAGGCGGGCAGGACTCAGTGCTGGTCCCTGGCCTGTGGCCCCACATTGGTGTTGGGGTGCCGTGGCCTGCTGCTGTCTTGGCTGGACTGGAGTCCTTTAGGGTCACCGGGTGTTGGGGACGAGCCTTCATGACATCCTTATCCTGTGAGTTCTACAGACACTTTTGCACAATCTGGGGGAGAATGGACAGTGTGGGCATGTAGGGCTGCAAGGTGGGACAGAGAGTGACTCTTACTCCTCTGAACAGAAGATACTTAAGCTCTATGGATCCCTCAGGGTCATCTAACCCTCCATCATCCTCCCTTCACGCAGTATTCATGTCCTCTTGTCCCTGAAGCCTCACATGAAGGGGGCAGGGAGGCCATCGCACTTGCTGGGACCTCGCTTCTGGGGCGCGCCTCCTTGACCCATGCCGCCCGGCTTATCTGAGTTCCCAGGCTTAGTCACCGTCTCCCCATAGAGTCTCCTTCCCCGAACCTACCCAGAAAAGTCCTTTCTGTTTGCCCAGGGTCCTTGCTCACCTCCTTACCTGAACCCTCCCTAAACTCCCTGGTCCCTGACAGAAACCTCCAGAGGTCCATTTGCCCTCACCTGTGTGGGGGTGAGTCCTTCCTCCTTCTCCAGATCCTCAGCCAGGGCCAGGAGATCCAGCTGGGACTCCTGGGAGAGCAGGTGCTCCAGGAAGCTGGGATGAAGGATCGCCTCAACCTGGGAGAGGGAAGCAGGGGTGAGGGTCCTCGTAGGGAACAGAAGGGAATGAGGAAGCAAACACACCTTTCCCCAGCACAGTGCACGGGCTTAGACGGCTGCACAGGCTTGGACGGCTGCACAGTCTCACACGGACACAAGCCGGGAACGCTCACACACACACACACACACACACACACACACACACACACACACAGCGACACATACACACCCGCACTCACAAAGGCACATGGACTATATACCTACTCTCACAGAGTAGCACATGTGAGCACACATGGATTCAAGCACACACCTGATACAAATGATACACTCTCTTCCACCTCTAGGTACGTGTACATGATTCTGCACGTGTCTGCACAGAGCCCACACAGTACACACAGATGTAGACACACAGAGATGTTCACACATCGACCAAACTCAGAAAGGCACAAACAAGGGCCACTGCTTGTACACAGAGAGACACACGTGCACACGTGCACACGTGCACACAAAAACAAGCAAAAACATGCAAACACAGGTGTGCATACACACACAGAGCTCAAAGCAAAGACTGCATGTCACTGCCAAGGCCTCACTGCCAAGGCCTGGACAAGAGCAGCCCTGGTGCGGGCATGCCCTGGGCCCGCACCCTCACCTTGGTGACAAAGGCCTCCTGGGAGCACAGCTCGTCCACGTAGCTCAGGAACCCCTACTCAGAGCAGGTCCCGGCCTCCTTCTGCTGCTCCTTCCTGCCCGCTGCCCATTGGTCTTGGGGCACCCCCCAGACTGTGTCGGGGACCTTCAGCAGCTCCTCCATGATGTCCATGTACTCCTGCACGGCCTCAGGGGGGATCTCTAGCAGCGTTGGTTTCCGGGGACTGCTGCGTTTCATGTGTTTCGGGGTGAGCTTCCTGGGCACAGAGGCTGTCCGTATTAGGGACACAGGCTGAGGAGGAAGAAAGAAGAGAAGGACGTGAGGGGACTCCGCATCCATGCCCTCAGACACACAGCACTGAGCACAGATTTGGGAACGGGTTCCAGTGGGCTGGGTCAGGGCCCTAGAATCCCGTGGCTGCGTGAGGGACGAGGGGACCCTCAATGGGGGAGGGGCCAGCATGTCCCCATGGTCTCTGAGCTCTAGTCATAAGTGAATCTTATGCCCTGAGCAGCGTGGGGTATGCAGCGAGAGGGAGAAACCCGGGGACAGGGGGCCACTAAGCACAGGCCTTGGGGTCCCCGGGAGAGTGTAGACTCGCTGCAGGGCCAGGACCCCTAGATCCTTCCCAGGGCCTGTGGTCTTGAGCTGGGGAGCAGGGTCGGTACCTGGCTGCTGGGCCGGCGGTGGGCCTGGAGCCTCCTGAAGCTCAGGCCTGGGCGGGGTGTGGGGCGGCAGGCCTTGCACCCCATTTGGCTTCTGCACCTCCATGTCTTCTTCGTTCTCAAACTCCTTGAACCTGGTGTGGGGAGCACAGGCCTCGCTGAGTTGAGTTGCCCGGGTCCAAGCAGAGTGCCAGGATAAGGCAGAGACAGGGGATGCTCATGGCCCAGCCCCCAGGAGGGTGGAGAAGGGGGTGGACACAGACCCCAGCAATCCCAGCCATCTCCCACATTGGCCCTGGAGGGTCACAGCAGATCAGGAACTCTGACCCTCAGGCTGTAGTCAGGAGACCCAGAGCGGGATGGGGACACGCCTCCCGACTCCCCGAGGGACAAGCTTCCCCAGGCGAAGTGCCTCCCTGGGCTGCCAAGTCCCTCCCAACCCTCCTCTCCCCTAGCCATCTGGGAGCAGCCCCTGCAGCCATCCTTTGGTCTCTTGTGCCCCTTCCTCCTCCTCTCGGCCACGGAAGGCTGGAACTTTTTCTTGGGGGGGCCGGGAGGGGCCTTGTTGATCCACAGTCAAGGCTGAGCCCCTACACACCCTGGGGTGCACCCTGGGCAGGGGGTCTTCTCAGCAGTGCCCTGCCTTGGTCCCCCACACAGAGGACGCTTCCTGGAAGGGTCAGTAGACTTGAAGGCCCTTGTGGGAGTGGATGGGAGCTCGGCATCCCCCTGACCTCCAGGCAGGTGGGGGCCAGTTTCGGGTCCAGTGTCAGGGCCAGGGCTCGTGGGTAAGCCCCAGAGCAGCAGGCTATTGTAAGAGGCTTGGAGGAAGGCCAGGCTGGTCAGCTCCTCTTTCTCCTCACTGGAGCCCTCTGCTGCCCCAAGCTTCCCCAGGCCAGGAGGGGCCTCTCCCAGCATGCGGGGAGCCCTGCTGTCCAGAGTGGGGGCAATGAGGCTGGGACAGGGGGCCGGCCCTGCCTGCAGGGGTGGGGACTTCAGGCTCCCCAGAGAGGGGGCAGAGGCTCCAGGTGCCTTCACAGTGGCCTCTGCCCGCTTACGCACAAACACAAGCAGAAATATGCAAACACAGGTGTGCACTTACACACAGCGCTCAAAGCAAAGACCGCACATCACTGCCAAGCCCTGGACAGAAGCAGCCCTGCACCCTCCGACCCCACAGCAGCACCCAAACCCCCACCTTGGTGACAAAGGCCTGTGGGAGCACAGCTCATCCATATAGCTCAGGAATCCCGGCTCAGGGCATGTGCCAGCCTCCTCCTGCTGCTCCTCCCTGTCCAATGCCCGTCGGCCGAGGGGCACCCTGCAGACTGAATCTGGGGCCTTTCGCAGCTCGTCCATGATGTCCCTGTACTCCTGCACGGCCTCAGGAGGGATCTCTTTGGGGGCCTTGTTCTTGGGCGGCTGCTGAGGTTTGTGTGTCTTGGGGCGGACTGCCAGAGCCCGGGGTCTGGCCTTCTTGGGGACACAGTCTAAGGAGGAAGGAAGAAGAGAGGGATGTGAGGGGACCCCGCGTCCATGCCCTCAGACACACAGCACTGAGCACAGAGTTGGGGACGGGTCCCTGTGGGCTGGATCAGGGCCCTAGAATCCAGTGGCTGCGTGAGGGATGAGGTGGCCCTCAACGGGAGGAGGGACCAACTGTGTCCCCAGGGTCTCCGACCCCACTTCAAAGGTGAGTCTGAAGCCTCAGGCAGCATGGGGTGTGCTAGGAGAGGGAGAAACCCGTGGACAGGGGGCCGCTGAGCACTGGTCTGGGGGTCATCGGGAGAGTGAAGGCTCCTAGCAGGTCAAGACCCACGAGGGCCTTTCTAGGTCCTGTGGCCCTTAGCTGGGAGCAGGGTCCGTACCTGTCTGCTGGTCTGGCGGTGGGCCTGGAGCCCCCTGAGGCCCAGGCCTGGATGGGGCGGGGAGTGGCAGGCCGTGCACCCCATTCGTCCACTGCAGTTTCTGTACCTCCATCTCCTCCTCCCCCTCAAACTCCATGAACCTGGTGTGGGGAACACAGGCCCTGATGAGTCGGGTTGAACGGGACTGAGCAGGATGTGTAAGGGACAGGCAATGCTCATGGCCCAGTCCCCAGGAGGGTAGAGAATGGGGTGGACACGGACCCCAGCACCCCCAGCGATCCCCCACATTGGCCCTGGAGGGTCACAGCAGGTCAGGGACTGTGACCCTCAGACTGTGGTCAGGAGCCCCAGAGTGGGCTGGGGAAAAGTGTCCTGGCTCCGGGAGGAACAAGTTTCTGCAGGGGAAGGGCCTCCCGGGCTGCCAAGCCCTCCCTGCCCCTCGGCCATCTGGGTGCAGCCCCTGAAGCTCGGGCCTGCAGCCACCCTGACCCACACTTGTTGGAGTACAAGGAGCTTAGGTTTATCAGGTTGCACCCATCACAGTGCTCCCGAGTCACTCCCATTACTTTGCCTGTCTGTAACCTCGTCTATGGTCTCTTCCCCCACCAATTTGTAAGGTCTCATCCTGCTTAGACACTGAAGCTGTACTGTAAGTTAATATTGTCTTTCTCCTCTCCTTATGTCTTTTGAGCAGTTTACTTTAATGCAATGGCCTTTTGTATAGATACAGGAAGACAATTAATTAATATTATGCTTTATAACTTAGGATTTAATTGGCTTTGGATATTATTCACTCCTGGGCATCTGTCTTCTCAACTTAAGCCTCAGTTGCCCTCACTTCCTAGCACTCCAAGGGCAGGGTCCCGACGTGGGACTAGATGGAACCAGGGCAAGCCGGTAAGTTATGTGCTACCCTGGCACCGCGATGGGCCAGGCCAAGGTGACATGATTCTTAACTATAAGTTAAGAGTTTGATCATAGGCAAATGCTGTCATGATCCAAAAGTAACGACGAGACTAGGACCCTGCTGCTAGGAATAGGAAAGGTATCTGGCCTGAGCACGACAGTCTGAGATTGAGATGGCCCTGGGAGAGTAATTCTATAAGCTCAAGGTATTTCTTACTGTGTCCATACAAAATGATTAATATTATGTGTGCTTATGTTGGTTGGACCAGGAGAGGAGAAACACGTCCTAGAAGCAGTTTTCCTATGTGTCCTGACTAGCTTGGATGAGACTGAACTTTCTCCCCTCCAAACTGCCTTCAGTAAATGATTTCAGTATAATGAAGCAGCTTCCCTTTTCCACAGAAACCTAGCTGGTCTTGGATATGCAGATCTCAGGTGCTAGCCAGGACTGATCTTTGGGATGTAGATTTCCAGCTCTGGCCAGGCTGGTCTTTGGGATGCAAATCCAAGTGCTTGTAAAGGTGAGGCCAGGATTCCTGGCCTGCTGATGTAAAGAAACAATGTGGATGTAAAGAAACAATGTATGGTTTGCCCCCTCAATGTTCTTTCTGTAACTCCTTTTGATGACAACACTATATTGCGACCTTTGGAGGTACTATGATCTATATAAGGGAGATTTCAGGGCTCTCTGGGGGTCACGGGCATCAGAGAACCTGGGAAGATGGGGCTGAGGACAGAGGCTGAGGGAACAAAGGTGCCCATGCTTGAGGATCCCTGAGGCCTCCATGACATACATCTCTTCCATGTAATAAACGGCTGCTAAGACCAACCAGCTTGGCCTCGTTTCCTTCCTTCGCCTGACCATCGCCATCGATCTCCGTGGAGTGGGGAAACGGCCTGACCGCCGGCCTTTTTATTTTTTGTGTG